ATGAGGTCGACTTTTCATTCGTCCCCTGATTACCACATAGCACTGAACCCGACATAGAAGATTTTTTTCATTTGATGTGCAGTGATCCATGTTCGGCGCCGCTACCCTTAGTTGTAGGGGCTGCATCAAAAGGCATTCGTACTAAAGAGATGTGCGTGTAACGCCGAAACGTACGTAGATCGCTCGACGTGCCATACCAGATCTTTGAAAGGCTTAAAAATCCTATCGGACTATATCCGATTGACTTCCGCGGACCCATGACGGTTCACACACCCAGCGTGGGAGCAACTCCACCTCCTCTGCCGCGAACTGTTCACCGACTACACTACTATGTTTCGTTGCAAGACCCGCAACTAAGTATTCGACTCATTCGCGTGCGCTCGTACAGCGAAAAGCACTACTGTAGTCAGCGAATAATCGGGGCAGAGAAAGTGGAGTCGTGGCTGGCGAACACATCCAGCGTGGGATCCGCGGAAGTCTGCCGGATAAACAGGAAATCCGTCTATTTGAATAAGTTATAGCATTCTAGACACCGTGGGCAGAGTCGGCTTACCGCAAAAATGTTGATCCAAGACCGCATGCTGTCTCGAGTGATAGAACTCGAAGGATCAAGCTCTCCGTGTCGATCACTCCCTCAGGGGCGCTTCATGCATTCAATCCGATTCGTACTTTGGCGAGTCTTCAGCGCGGGATCGAAACCATCGAGCGATCGACCACGTATGTGTCGTAAAGTATCTCTAACCGCTACACCACACATGCTCTATGGCACAACTCATTGTCAGCGGTGTTATTCTCGAAAACAAATCCGGCGTGAATTCACGGAACCTGGGAAGATGGAAGGCTTTGGCGAGTGTTCAGCGCGGGATCGAACCTTCGACCGATCGAGCAAGTATGTGTCGTAGAGCACTTCTAACCGCTGCACCACACAGGCTCTATGGCACAACTTATTGTCAGCGCTGTTACTTTGGCGCGTCTTCAGCGCGGGATCGAACCATCGACCGATCGACTAAGTATGTGTCGTAGAGCACTTCTAACCGCTGCACCACACAGGCTCTATGGCACAACTTATTGTAGGAAATCGGAAAACTCTTTACTGAAAATCCTTAGGCTATCGTGCTGACGTTAGAATTCGCGCTACGGATTCGCCGTAGAGCACGTTTTTGCTTCTTGACTTCTGGCTGGTGGTCGTTCTGAGTTTAGTGAATTACACTTTTCTTAATATTGATTTTTGCCTTTCCAATAGATCACTGAAAGGTGGTCATCCATAAGGAGCGCTGAGAGCAAAGGCGGCGTTCTGTGCACTCAATATTTCACAAGAATCGCATTTTCGAAAAGTTCGTTGGTCGATGATTTGACCAACAAATAACCTCTATTTCTTTCTAAACTACTCTGATGATCATATTAATGAATGGAATTTGCAGACATAATATCATGGAATGGGATCTAGCAGTACTTCTCCATTATCTCCACACTGTTTCAGCCCATTGGGAAAAACGTGTTTCTTGGATTTTGTTCAAAGTTCTGATGGTCTTATCCTTCGTTTCGAGTGTTTTCTTAAGACCACAGCTCAAACTTCAATATGCCTGACAATCATTTTTTGAGCCACGCATGTCAGTGGTCTATCCAAGAGGGCTGACTTATGGAGGCCGATACACGTGTTTCGATCTTGCGATCTCGTCAGTCGGGCAGTTAGCCTTTCTCGTCTTTTGCCAATCCTGTGTGGGTGCTCCTGTCCCCACACTAAGAGTTAGCGACGACGAACGTCTTGATGGTCATTCAGTAACTTAAATCACGAGAATTTTACTGGTGTACTTTATTTTTTCAACGGCCTTTCTATTGCGCTATAGGAGTAGAAATAAAATTATGCTTCACACATATGAGCATTTCTCGCCGGACAAAGTTTTTCCGTTCAAATTATCAATAATCACTCGATATCACAAATCTCGCGACGATCTCGATAGTGTATCTCATTTTTTGAAAGGACTTCCCAGTGCGCTGTAGTGACCAAAAGTAAGTTATGTTTCACGCAGCGCGACATTTTGGCACAAAGCCACCGCGCTTTTTGCGCGACGCCAAATTTGTGGAACCCTATCATTCTTATATCATATCTTTCGTTTCGAGTGTTTTCTTGAGACCACAGCTCAAATTTCATTATGCCTGAAATCATTTTTTGAGCCACGCATGTCAGTGGTCTATCAAAGAGGGCTGACTTATAAAGCCCGATACACGTGTTTCGATCTTGCGATCTCGTCAGTCGCGCAGTTATCCTTTCTCGTCTTTTGCCAATCCTGTGTAGGTGCTCCAGTCCCCACACTAAGAGTTAGCGATGGAGAAAAGACGACAACCAATCTTTTTTTTTTACTATAACAGCGCACTAGGAGGTCCTTTTCAAAGGGCAGAAACATCAAGGAAAATTTCCGTGATTTTCTTTGCTTCAGTAAACATCAGGTTTAGCCGCTCCGAGGTGTTATTGATATTATTTATTCAATATAAGCGAAGCATATAACAATACAGTTAATAATGCAGCATGAATATTACAACAGTCGTGGTGGCTTACGTTTCGGCAAGGTTCGCCATCTTCAGAGCGTACGATTCGCTCCCAAAGGCGTTCTTCGAAGTATTGGCCACAGTGATATTGTCTTCACACGCACATCTCAAACTTGGGTAATTAAGTATCAAGCTGGCTATCAGGCTAAGATAACAGTTTAATCACCCAAGTTTGAGATAGCTCGTGTATAAAGAATACCACTGTAGCCAATACTTGGAAGAACGCCTTTGGGAGCGAATCGTACGCTCTGAAGATGGCGAACCTTGCCGAAACGTAAGCCACTACGACTTTTGTAATATTCATGCTGCATTATTAACTGTAGTGTTATATGCTTCGCTGATATTCAATAAATAATATCAATAACACCTCGGAGCGGCTAAGCAGAAGAATATACTCATTTATTCAAAAACTATGCTGAGGTTAATAGATAGTCGGTCTTGGGAATTGTCGTCATTGAAGTTGTCGAGATTCGGGCTACAGAAGGAGGTAAGGAGAGGGTGTTGGGGTAGGAGAAGAGGATCGAACCAGCATCGTTCATCATCCCCTTCCGGATGCATTGCATCGCTAAGTTTTGCCACATCTCGCCGCTAGGAATTCCATGAGCTTATGTTGATTTACTGGATTGTCTTTGCTCTTCATAGTGATACTCCGATGGTCCATGAAAATGGACTTCTCATTTAGTCTCGCAAAGGATTTCACAGTCGTGGATTATCTAACGCATCATTTTGTTCCAACTTCAGACAACCTTTCATAGAATTTATAAGGATCGTTGGTGTGTTCGATTGGAAATCCCTCCCAGGCAAGCCATAAAACTCGGTGTTTTGTAGATTTCCCACGTCAGGCTTCAGTCGATCTGCGATTCATAACGTTCTACTACGGTCCTGATATCTCTACAGACTCTTCCAGAATCCCCGGCTAGCGCTTAGAAATCTACTACCCGTCAAGGCGGTGAGTTTTTCTCCACCACTTGCTCATCGCAATCATTATTCTTCGTTTCAAGCGATCTGTCATATTTAGAGGAATTATACACTGCCAGTCTCGACTCAGTTTCGCCTTGTGTCATGGTGGAAAACGACCAAGTATCGGAAACAGGTTAGTTTCTCTCTGCGGTTTCCTTCCAATTTCTTCTTTCTTCGTCTTTTTCTTACTAGGTTGGAAGTGTTTTGCCGTAGCTTTACAATTATTCATAGTCGAGTCATATAACTCTGCTCAACCGAAGGATTACAGAATGGCTTCTTGTCGATGACTATTCTGAATGCTTGTCAAATCTCACCCCATCTCTTCGACATATCACTTTCACTGAAAGGGAACACGTAGACTTCTTTTGGTTCGAAATATCTTGGTATAATGACCTCCCGGGTCTGCGCGCTATAAGTCTTCAGTAGAAATTCAGCTAATATGCTAGACGTCAGCAAATGAATAACCTATCTCATTCGCCGGGCAGGGACTTTTCATAGGAGTGTTAGTAATCATTCGAAAGCTCGAACTTCTGGCTAGAGTCCTACATGGTCGGTTCTTTAGAACACTCTTCTATAGCGCTGTAAAATCTGAACTAAAGTTATGTTTCACACGATCGCGTTTTTTTTTTTATTGCTTAGATTTTCTGCACAGAACTCCTTCTTAGAGTGCTAGTACCCATTCGAAAGCACAAGTTTCGAAGATTTCAGAAAAAGTGTTTGCTTCTAGGAAAAGCGTCTTTGATAGCGCTGTAGGAGAAAGAAAAGATTTGTACTTCACACCTCGCCGGACAAAACTCTTTAATGCTGACAGTAATGTAATAGTAGTAATCATTCGATAGCGTAAGTTTCAGCGATTCCAACGCTGTGCTTCGTTTGTGGAAATATCGATGGCAGGGAGAGCAAGATCGAGTTCTACATTTTCGGCGAGATTGTTTATTGGCTAGTCCATGGGGTCAGGGCCAGCTGATCGATCCCTGGGCCGTTGGATATGTGGGATGCAACTTCTTATCGTTGGTAATATTTTCGCCTCTTTGAAGCGAGCTCCAAAGGGATCTTAGATACTACGAAAGTTTTTCCACACTATGATATGCTTTTCGTGCTTCCAGCGAATCATACGCATGATAAAAATGAAGACGAAGGGCGGATGTGAAACATTGTTGCTTTATAGTATATCCAATATGTGGAGTACTGTGCAAAAAACGTCTGCGTCAGCCGGGATTCGAACCCAGATCTCACTCTTTCCGGGAGCGTATGCTAACCGTTGCACTACCGACGCTCGTTGTTGCACAGCACTCTTATTTTACGCTACAACGCGTTGTCTGCAACGCAAGTGGCAGTCAAAATAGACAGAATTTAGACTGATTAGCGATATCCAATGTCTGTCAACGCAAGTGGGTTCAGTGCCGATAGCGGCTTCCCCGCCAGACCGTCGACGGTGGCTGTTGGCAGACAAACGCGTTGTAGCGTAAAATAAGAGTGCTGTGCAACAACGAGCGTCGGTAGTGGCAACGGTTAGCATACGCTCCCGGAAAGAGTGAGATCTGGGTTCGAATCCCGGCTGACGCAAACGTTTTTGCACAGTACTCCACATATTGGGTATACTATGAGATCATACCACTGCAAGTGGCAGTCAAAATAGACAGAATTTAGACTAATGTTGCTTTAGATGATACAAAGTTGTAAAAGGGATTTCAAGAAACCGAACTGCGTAGGGCTGTAGCCAGAAATTTGATCTTTCGAATGATAACTAACAATCCTACGAGAACTTTCTGTCCAGCGAATGAGATCAGTTTTTCCTTTGTCGCCGTCTAACATATCAGGTTAGTGCTTACGTAGGTTTCGGCGGTCTCGCACGCCTCATTGAAGGCACCCAGGTTCAGGTGCCCTACTGATAGTAGGATGGAATGACGCGAAACAATGCGAAATCGTGGATTTTCCTGTCTTCACATTCCAATCTAGTTGATGGCTTGCGGTTGTTATTCAGTCAATGCTCTTACATTCGACTGTTTATAAAACCTCTTGTTATAGGCATTAATAGTCATTAGTGACAGCTTGTAGTAGAAACTCTGAATCGATGAAGATGATTCGTACTCACGATACTTTTGCGGACGAAATGAACTGGCTTCATCACTGTATGACCTGTGTCTCGTTGATCGTCGAGTGACTCCACTGGCCATCAGTGAAACTTATTTATGCGTGCAAGGGTAACCCAAAGGAGTCTTCTTCGCTCTGTTCGAACCTTTTTTCTGCACTAGTGCAGCTGCTTGAGGTCGCCGAATATATCTTGTATTTTTGTAGATAAAACATCTAAACCTCAGGTCATATTGAAGAATGAGTGGGAGTAGGGCGAAGGGCTCGCGTGGTGTTGAGGCAGCACAGGCCCCGTGTAGGTAAAATGCTTGTTCAACTCCTGCCTGGGTTCGAAATTCTCGAATATCATTCGGCACTCTTGATATAATAACGCTGCTATAAGAGCGGTGAAGTTAAAAAGACACCTAGATCCTATGGACATCTGTTCTCGTCTTTTGTATTGGGAAGCTTTGTTGTTTGTGAATGAGTGATATAGAGCCGTGACGTCACATCTCAGAGGATATGTCAGTGATTTCAAGAAACTAGATTGCACTATCAACAGGTGGTTACTGGCACCTCCGATACCTTGTATTGCAAAGGGAGTGGTAGCAAGGTGCAGTAGTTAGCACGTATCCTTGGAAATAATGAGACGCAGGTTCAATCCCTCCTGGATTCAAAAATTCTGCATATCATTCAGTATCTAGGATGCATAGTATCAACGTCGTACCACTACTACTAGAGCGCTGAAGTTAAGAGTTCTTGTGCATCAAATGTCTCTAAAAGCTTGTTAGATTTTGCATCCGGCGCTCTTCTCCACCTTCATAAACGCTGTTCGTTCATTTTTTGAATCCCTTCGTCACTAAAATTCTTAGCCTCGTGTCACCCCAAAGCCTTTTAAAGTTTGTAAATTCGAAATAGGTCTCCCTCTGTGATACTCTTAGGAGTGGAATGTGATCTGTTGAACACGTCTAGTTGGAATTCTGCCTAGTACAGGAATCTGATTTTGCCGTTGTAAATCACGGTGATTCCCAAGCATTGCGTTCTATTATATAGCAATTTAGTGCCTTCTGAAACGACTTTTTTGTTGCTTTTACTGGTTTCATCAATTTCAGACAATGGTGATTTTCACCTAACTGATGTCCAGTTGGAAATGGTAAGACAAGCGAATGACTTGGTCAGTTCCGTCTCAAAGGGTAAGTCTGATCTTTGATATGGTTTTTTTTTTCAATTTCAATCCTGCTCATTTATATCAAGATTGCAAATCAACGATGTTCAAAGTGGTTGATCTGAGAAAATCAGTTTATGATGCGATCGTGCAACTGTCAGAGGTCGTCTCAGAGAGGTGCTAAAGAAGCAGGTATGAGACCCTGCTTTGATCTCCATCACAGAGCTTCTTCTGATAGTCGATTCTAGCTTCCTTTTCTCCATTGTACCGCTTGGGATGAGGTTATTGAAGAGCGTTACATTGGAACTCCTCATCTATGCGGATTTCCGACATGCAGCAGAGTAGTTGAAATGAGCGCGAAGAAGCAAAAATATCACATAGACAGGCAGACAAGGAAGGTTTGTTGCTTATAGTTGGTATATATGAATTCGGTAAGACTTAAGAGTGATTTGCTTTTCTTTAGATCTATGAGAACCGCTCAGAAAGTGACATGTACTGTTCACGTTCTTGTATGCTTCGCTCGGCTGCCGTTCGGGCACAACTGCCTGACGAGCCTTTGTGGTTAACGGGAAACATCGAAAAAAGGATATGTAAGTTTAAAATATAGTGGAAATCTGCATGGTGGAAGTGAGTATAGGTTGTAGAATTATCCTATGGTTTTTAGGTTCGTCGTATTGTGTCGACACTCCAATCGACCTTAAACATACAACCGCTGAAAAAACTGTCATTGAAATTGTTCGTGCGGTCGAAGACAAACTTAGCGATTTGATAATCAGAGAAGCGGAATCGTCGTCGGCTTCTGAGGCTGAGGAGGAAGAGGAGAATCAAACGGTATCATTTTATTTCAATATCACATATTTTCGGACGTTAAGTTTGTTTTGGCTTAGCGTAGTCTAAATTTAACAATGGAAGCATGGCTCAGAGATAGGCAATGACCTCAGTTGATGTAGTGGATAGTACATGAGCCTCTGGACAAGTATACCACGAGTTCGAAGCTTTTCTGAGGTTCCAATCTTGCTCTTAATCTCAGTGCCTCAGCGAAGGATCACATTATGCCTGCTATGAAAAAGACTAGACAGCAATAAGAGTTGGAGCTTAGTGATTTCTAAATTCAGCTTTTTGAATGTCAGATTTCGGTTGAATTTAGATTTTTTTATCTGACCACTACTTCGTTTTCGCAGTTTGATCTAAAACTTTTTCCAATAGATTCTTATGATTCCTCTTGAAGCTTAGGGGTGTCAGTCGCTACATCCTGTCATCCATTGCACAAGCCTCAGGCTTATGGTTTCAGTCAATTTGCAGTAACGAATTTAGTGTACCATATTTGGAAAAAAATGGATCACTCTATTCATTTGATCTATCCATTTGATAAAGCTAAAAAATAAAGCTTTCGGCGTCGATCGAAGCATAACAACATTAGCCGAAGAACTTTTCTATTCCTGGATTTTCGATTATATGTATCTAAATATTTGCTAAAATTATGCTACACTCTAACAATACTTCAGTTATTTTTTTCAGATTTAAAATTTCTTCCAGGACGTTGAAGAATATCTCAATGAAGTGAGCGATATCATTGGTGTAAAAGAAGATCTTGAAATCAAGTCAAATCAAGGAACACGTTCATCTAAAGCCTCTGATAGTGGAAGCGGTGATATGAGCATAGAGATGGAAGCTACTAAGCTTAGGAGCGACGTTAGCCATTCATTGAATGGGAAGAGTGTTGAACGAAACAAAAGATCCACCTCGGAATCCACGACTTCCTGATCCACAAATGTCTGCAAATCATTCGTTTACACGAGATGAATTGGAAAAACTTTCGCGGCTAAGGTACCTTCATAAGTAGAAAGGTGATATGTGGTATCAAGTTCATGATTATTATGCAATTAATCTGTATTATAGATCAAAATATTCGAGAAGTGTCACCAAGAAGCCCATCATTATCGAACCCTTGCCTTCAGCTGCTCGCAGTACAGATGAAAAGGTGTTTTTTTATGTCGGTTTATAAAGCTCAAGATGGATCTATTTGAAGAAAGTTTTCTAATACTATGGTGTAAAGTGATATTCGTTCAGAATCGCAGTCAGCACGAACAAAGAAAACTTGCTACCGCAGTGGTGTGTCCAAATGTTGAGACAGCTGTGGAACGTGTTGAGATGTTATTCAGGTACAAATGAGATAGTTGTCATAGTAGCAGTTACAAGCAAGTATTTTGTTTGATTCCCTCCATATCAAACGTTTTTTTCCAGGAGTTGGATCACGGAGCGCACTCGTCGTCTACTTCGCACCGGGGGTCTCTGTGTTTCGGATTCGATTAATACAATTATGAATCAATTTTTCCGCCCACATAGTATCGACGAGAATGCTGACGTAAGAATACTGCTTTTTTATTGTTTTCGCACAGCCTACTTGTAAATCAAGACAATAAAATGAGTTTTTTTTATATTTAGGGCGAATTACCTCTACCTGATGTTGATTGGCTCAATATACATAAGAAACGTCTACACATTTTCGTGGAGACTATAAAAAAACCGTGGGTCATCCAGTTTTGTAAATTTTCTCATGTTTCCTTATTGAGCTAAAACTCCAGTGAAAACTCTGAAAATGCGTAAGAGTGTCGATAGTGATAAGATGAAAGACAAATGCTTGCTCTTCTTTTTATTATCAATCCTGCAACGCTCATGTACCCGATGTCGTTAAGTATCAAAGCAGTGTTTTGAAACATATCTGGTTGTAATGACTTGCGATGGCCTATCGATGTACCAACATCTTGTTGCTATCCTTTCAGGCAACTCAGACAGTTTGATACCAGTTTATCAACCCTGAAAGGATGGATCGCATGGTATCCCAAGTGGGGGGGGGGGGGGCGGGGGTCCGCTCGAAAACTACACGTTTATTGTAAAGCATCTCGAACCACAGTCGTTCTTTTCTTTTATCCGGGAACAAATGAAGAAAGAACCTCCCTTCGCTTCCGAAAGCTAAAATCTCTGGCTACTTCGCTACTTGGCCGTTTTTGAAGAAGCCTTTTTTAACGCTTTCAACAGAAAGAAAGTATTTGTGTTTCACGCACGCTTTTTTTCTCGCAATCAGAGCCCTTCCTTTAAAATATTAGTAATAATTCGATAGCGTGACTTGTACGATTCCAACGTTATGCTTGTTTTCTGGAAGGACTTTTACTGCATTGTAACGTGAAAAACAAGATTGAGTTCGACATAATCGGCGCGCTTGTTAACCGGCTAATCAACGGTCGGGGTGTGTTGACAGCCGAAAGATGCTGCAAATAAAATCTATGACTCTGATACCAAAAGATTTCCTCTACACATTCAAATGTCTTTT